CCTATCTGGCCGAGTTCTGGCAGAGCAAGCCATTAGCAAGCCAGCCATCAAGCAAGAGACGGCCCAACCAGCCTCATCCATCATGACGAACAACGACGCAGCCAATAACGGCAACTCGTCGTCGGCAGCGGCGAGTGGCGACGGCAAGGCATCCTTTACCGTCAAGGCGGGCCTCGCACAGATGCTCAAGGGCGGTGTCATCATGGACGTGACGGACGCGGCGCAGGCCCGCATCGCCGAGGATGCGGGCGCATGTGCAGTTATGGCGCTGGAGCGCGTGCCGGCCGACATCAGGGCCGAGGGCGGCGTGGCACGCATGTCGGACCCGGCCAAGATCCGCGAGATCCAGGAAGCGGTGACGATCCCAGTCATGGCCAAGGCGCGCATCGGCCACTTTGTCGAGTGCCAGATCCTCGAGGCGCTGGGCGTCGACTACATCGACGAGAGCGAGGTGCTGACGCCGGCCGATGACGCCCTGCACGTTGACAAGACTGGCTTCGGCGTGCCCTTCGTCTGCGGCTGCCGCAACCTGGGCGAGGCACTGCGGCGCATCTCCGAGGGCGCGGCCATGATCCGCACCAAGGGCGAGGCCGGCACGGGCGACGTGGTCGAGGCGGTAAAGCACATGCGCCAGGTGCGGGCCGACATTGCGCGCGCGTCGGCGGCGCTGGCCGACGGGGGCGAGCTGGCCGTGCGGGCGCTGGCGCGCGAGCTCGGCGTCGACGCGGCGCTGCTACGGAAGACGGCCGAGCTGGGCCGGCTGCCCGTGGTCAACTTTGCGGCCGGCGGCGTGGCCACGCCGGCCGACGCGGCGCTGATGATGCAGCTCGGCTGCGACGGCGTCTTCGTCGGCAGCGGCATCTTCAAGTCGGGCGACGCGTCCGCGCGCGCCCGGGCTATCGTGCGCGCCACCACGCACTTCAACGACGCCAAGGTGCTGGCCGAGTGCAGCGAGGGCCTGGGCGAGGCCATGGTCGGCATCAGCGTGGGCAGCATGCGGCCCGAGCAGAAGATGGCTGGACGCGGCTGGTGATGTCCATGGCGATGATGTGAGGAATGGGACAGAGGTACGGAGTAGACGGGGACGGAATTAGCAGTTGGTAACTTCTCAAGCTGGTGTTTACATTGGATAGGTTTGGATGGACCTGATAATACAAAAGGCTGCCAGGCCGCACCCGCACCCGCAGTCGCAGTGGATATGTCGGGTCGGATCCGGCTCCACGAGAGAGAGAGAGAGTCCTGCCGTGACCTGCCGTGACCTGTCTCTCGATAAGCTCGATAGGAGCAACAGCGGCCCCACTGCGGATCACCGGGTGTCGGCGGTCGCGTCTGACCGAGAAAAAATGAGCACAGGAAAGTGGCGTCATCGAGCCAACTGACAAATCAGACAGCCACAACAGCCCACCGTCGCCCTGTGACGGCGCTGAAGCATACAAAACACCTCACTAAAAGTACCTCAAGAATCGATCATATAACCACTGGAAGGCAGCAGAAGTGCCCAGACAAGTGCCGTCCATATCACTTACCGAGCAGTCTCTTACCTAACCTCCCACCTTCTGTGCTACCGGATTATAGTGCCTGCAGATAGGACTTGGCTACTTGATCGGTAATCTTACAGCCTCGTCGCCCGCCACATAACCCACTACCTACCCCCCCTAATAACTTATCTGCCGCCCCGCCATCCGCCTCCGAACTTCTTCATGTCAACAAACCTCTTCCGCGCAACCGTCCCGTCCAGCCTCACCAGACGTCTACTGCTCAGAGCACCTCAGCGCCAATTCCACACCACCAGGCCCAACATGACTGTCCACAACCTCTCCACGTAGGTTGCGCACCTCCCGTTCAAGCTGTCTACCTACCCCGCTCTACCTTTTGCTTGACTGAGCTCGCCGCCCCTCCCTCGCTATGACGGCATGATCTTAGTTGGCTGCTGACAACGCCCACAGCAAGGCCGCCTTTGACGAGGCCGTCAAGTCCAACAAGGTCGTCATGCTGGACTGCTTCGCCACCTGGTGCGGTCCCTGCAAGGCCATCGCCCCGATACTTGCCAAGTGAGTAGTACTCTGGAAACACGAGAGAGCAGTATCAATCACCACGACGACAAAACTTTGCTGACGCGCTCCCGCGCCCACCACCAGACACTCGAACGAGGAGGAATTCAAGGACGTCTTTTTCGCCAAGATCGACGTGGACGAGCTGCCGGAGCTGAGTCAGGAGCTCGGCATCACCGCTATGCCCACCTTCATGATCTTCAAGGACGGCAACGCCGAGCCCGCCGAGAAGCTCGTCGGCGCCAACCCCAACGCCCTCGTCAGCCTGCTTAAGAAGCACGCCTAGGCGCGCGCGCGACGCCTATAATGTTTCCCTCGGACGAGACGGGGCGGACCGAACCCCCTGCTTTGTGGACGGTTGGTGGCGTTATTGCGAACGAGTGAGATAGGGCATACAATCAGTTTACAATAGAGCCATGGCCGGTTCGCCCCGCTGCTATACGGAGACGTGAGCCGATTATACATTTTGCGCAGATTCGGGTGTGAGGCATGATAAGAGCGCTTTGAGCTGCGTCTAACAGACGGACCAATTAATGGCCAGATATTCGTGCTTCAGTACTCAAATACATAGCCTCGGGTCGACAATTCGCCAATATTGACAACATGCCAGTCATCGCGCCTGCGTATAGGAGTGCTCTAGAAAACCTAAGACGCAACTTTCCCAAGTACTCATCTGCTTGATTAGGTGCCTATGCTGCCGGTACTAAAGACTCGTGGACTTACATGCGAAGGATGGTACGATGGCTCTAGGCATGGGAGAGATTACTCCAGGGGGAAATGTATGTGCCCGAACCCAGAACTCGGTCCCGCCGATGCCAGTGCAACACTCCGTCATGACAGTGCAACATAAGTTGCCTAGCTACCAGTTAAGTAAGTACATGGCTATCGGTACAGGCGGAAATGCGGCGTACGGAGTTGCCATGTTGACATTCGTCGCTGACCTCAGCACGGGGTTCCCCAGAATATGGAGAAATTGGCCTTAGTTGATCACCCCATAGAAGGGTCAGCGTAGCCGAAGCGGAGGGAGGAACAGAGGCAATATCAAAATACGCGCAGACGATCGAGGCTTGAGGGGCTATACGGGTGTGATGCATTTCTGTAAGTGGTCCTTCGGCAGTATTACTACGCGTTCTGATCCAGGTAATTCGCTCGGCGTGGATTTCCCAGTGACACAGTGGAGAGAGAGGAAAACGCTTCAACGCTTCCTTTCTCTCTCTCTTGCTCTCTTCCGCTCTCCTTTCCTACCTTTTTCCTCCCCCCGGAAGCCGCCAGAAGGTCCGCCGAGGTGGCGGAGGTGCTCATGTGGACGGACTCGTGTCTGACAGATGGGGCAGCATTGTTCTTCCGGGGATGGAAGGATGGAAAGAAGGGGAAAAGAAAGGGGAAGGGAGATAGAAGGGTGGTCTTCGCTGTGGGGCAAGGCGATGGTGGCGGCTAAGGTGTCGGTGTCCCCAATGGAAACGGAACTCTCGGGGACGGTGTCTAAGACGGCGAAGAGCTCGCGGTACGTTACGTACTGGTCCATCACTCGGGTAGGGCGTAGACGGGGCACGCCGCCGCACGCTTAGCTTGGCCTGAGTACATCCTGGATAATCGCTGCGACGGGAGAGCCCCAAGAAAGCCTGGGGTACATACCGTATGAGAGCTCGGGGGCCTCGGACCGGGACAATGCGTGTAGGGCCCCGGAACCGAGCCGTTGATCTTCCGGATGGCATTGTCTCGGTGAAACCAACGGGCCGCCGCGCAACATCGGTTGCTTCGGCTGGGACACCGGCGTCCCGAGGAAGTCGAACCCGAGCCGCCGCGTCGCGAGTCATCCCCCTTCTCAACGGGACGCCGCGAGTCACTCGTGGCAGAACAGCGAGGACCGCGGGGCTGCCGCCGCCGCCGCCGCCGCCAGCTGGGACGGCCGGAGCAGCGGCCGGCGGAGTGGGGAGCATGGCGGCGGTGTCCGGGCACCACTCCAGCCGGGGATGATGATTGAGCGGCGGCCCTCGTGAGGACCCCGAGGTCTGCGCGTGATGACTTACAGATGCAGCTTGACGTTCATCTGCATGGCCTGCTAGGTGAGGACCGCGTCGAATCGTGTTGATGCCGTTGGCCACCCCCACGGCCCAGGTCAATGGATATCAAGGGCGGACCATGGCATGCGCAAGTGAGCAGAATGGGCGCGAGGCAATTGCAACTTACAGGGCAGTGCTTCTTTTCGGTCTGTCCCATCCCGCCATGGGGATAACGGAGTTTGCTACCGGTCAGCGAGGCGGAACGTGTAAGTAAGCCGTAGAGGCAGAGGTTGTCACACTACCTAGCGGCATATTGTAGATATGCCGCGATCCTAACTCGACTATCTCAAGTGGCTTTGGGTCAGAAGTTAGGTGAGTGAGTACAAATCCTTTTCCCGCCTCTCTCCATAAACGCCGTCATATACTGATGTGTTCTCTTCCCAAGTACTTCACAGGTCGCTTCTAAACGCATTGCACAACTCCCATAATAACTTGTTACGCGCTGGTTGGTGTGTATCGTTTTCCGATATGCCCGCTCAGGTCGACTTGTTTGATAATAGCAGCGCTCGTGAAAACCAGCCTTGGGCGTGGAAGTCCTCCTTCGCCACGAAGGTGTGCCGTCCCAAACGTTACAAGGAGTCTTCCCTCAACAGCAGCTCAAGGCCTCCGCTGAGTTGCATCCAGTTCTATAAGAACGGCCAATGTCAGTTTGTCAGCTGTCGGGTGCAGATTCAATATTCTGACTCCGGGAGCCCTTGATAGTCTTATTAGTCAGTGGAACCATCTGGTGCGTTCCTTTCTCGTCTTCGGCCGTGCCACTAAGCAGTTGTACGGTATCCAAGAACTTCACCATCTCTCCTAAAACTTCACAACCTTGGCATCAATGGTATAGTAAGCCAGTTGCTTAGCTACCCAGTTTAGAATTAACCCCGACAAAAAGAGAATTTGCCCATTACTGGAGTCGAACCAGTCGCCTCCTCATTGCATCCAGAAGAGTTGGATTACTAGTGAGGCGCTCTACCGCTGAGCCAAACGGGCTTGTGCAATAAAAAATAAATGGCTAAGGAAGGCCTATGACTCCTGGGGCCGAAAACGGCACCTCACGATGTTGAGGTGGGCGACGACACGGCACCACCTATGAACGGCGCCCTGACCACTGGGTTCCACTTGTGACTAAAACAGTTGTGTTTGCGAAGTTGTCCGCGAGTTTTTTCGAACTTTGTATATATCGACTCTGTAAATCGCCTTTCATTCCTGAGTGCTGTCAAGCTTCCGGTCGCGAACTTCGCGAAGCTATCGCTGAGACTGTCTCACGATAGCATGATGAAGAAAGGCCAGCTTCTACAGCTTTCACAAGGCTTTGCATCTTGAAGGAGCCTCTCCCAACTAGATTAAGCTTCGGCGCTACCGTCTACTCTCTCGGCATCACGTGATGCCTTTTCGGGATATATCCGGTCAACTTCGGGACTCGGTGCCTAGTAGTGGGTGCCTCTCGACCTTACACAATCACGTAGCGGGCAGCAGCAGCAGCAGCAGCCGTCACAATCGCATCAACCCAGCCCAGCATCTGCGCCAGCCATGAGTGCCGCCGCCGCCACACTGCCGGAGGACGGCTCGCCGCTGGTCGAGCCGATCGAGAGCGAGGAGGACATGGCGGAGGCCTTCCGCTGCCTCTGCAACGCCTTCGGCCGGCAGACGGGCGACGCCATCTTCACGGGCCTCAACCCGGGCTGGGACACGCCGGCCGGCGAGGCCGCCGGCGCGGCGCGCATGCTGCGGCGGCTGCGCGCCGCCGGCGTCGACCGCGACGGCCGCCCGACCACCATGTTCCTCAAGGCCACCGTCGCCGCCGATGACGCCGACGGCCGCCGCCGCGCCGCCGTCGCCGGCATGGCCGTCTGGGTGCAGGCGTCGTGCGCGCCCGGCAGGGGCCACGACCCGACGGCCGGGGACGGCCTGGCCGGCGAGCTCGCGGAGCTGTACCCGGGCGACGAGCGCGAGCAGCGCTACATGCGGCAGGTGTTCGAGTCGCTGGTGCGGCAGCGCGTGGAGTTCGTGCGCGCCCTCGCCGATGATAACAAGCAGCAGCTGCAGCACCACGACGACGGGGACGGCGATGACGATGACGCGCCGTCGTACCCGTGCCCGGCGGTCATGGTGCTGGACATCTGCGCGTGCGACCCGGCCTACCAGCGGCGCGGCGCGGCCACGGCGCTGGTGCGCTGGGGGCTCGACGAGGCGCGGCGCCGCGGCATCCGCGACGCCACCACCGAGGGCTCCAGCATGGGCCGCCACGTGTACCGGCGGCTGGGCTTCGTGGACCGGCCGCCCGACATCGTCTTCGACGTCGACGACGAGTTTAAGGAGCGGCCGCGGCCGGCCAACGTCTTCATGCACGCGAGGCTCGACTCCTGAGCCGAGAGAGTCTACCGGTACCGATACCGGTACTACTAGGTACTTACTGTGGCTTGCTAGTTCTGGTCGAACGATCTTGCTTTACCAATGCCTGCTGCTCTCACCGGGTCCGGTGGCGGTTCTGTCGATATTCAGGTTTCCTCTTTGCGAACGTGGACGGTGCCGGTGTATCTTAGAGGACCTAGGGGTTGATCTCAGCTCAACATAGTACCACCGTAGAGGACATGCTGAAGTCAACAGGGCTTTCCCAAGAATAAAGTTCTCTGCATGCTTCTCGGATCAACCGTCTTCACGCAAACTCTGTAAGAGGTTTCCTTTACCTTCTTCGGTTTCGCGGCTATAGTCCTCTTTCCGGAACAAGGAGTGTGGTGAGAAGGAATCTGAGTGGTTGAGCAATCTATGAGAGCGCATGCTTGTAACACAGAAAAGTTCCATGCAACTATGCGGTGAAGGATTTTCGCTTGCATTAATCGGATATACCGGCGTCTATACTCCACCTGCCTCAGGCTCCCCCCACTACACTTTCGCGACGAAGACCGCGACAGCAGCATCAACCGCAGTAGCATCCAGTTTGGCTTTCCTACAGTAGGTAGCTATCCTGTTTGCTCAGCTGGTCAGCTAGCCAGCTCATCGTCGCGACAAGTGCACAATGATCTCGCAAATGTTACCGAGTGGAGTGAGAGACTTCGCGCGGGCATGACGCGAACCCTCCCCTGGAAGCGGCGAGAGAGAGAGGGCAATAACGCTGGATCGAGGCTGACGCAAGCTGCTTCCAATCGACATATCAAAACGGAGCCGCGCGATGATGGGCCTGCCGATAATAATCATGAGAGACCCCGGCACAGAGAGTCTCTTATCAGATCCCGTAAGCATGCTCGCTCTCGCGGCATCCAGCAATTCCACCACCGCTTACGAACAGCCAGGGCGATCGGCATCGACGTCTCCCCCGCCGGAGCCACTGCAAGAAGAGTTGGATATCTCACCATCCCCTTATTCTATCCTACCTTCTGACCTGAACGCAGATTCATGATTGACGGGCCCGATGGCGACGACCGCTACCGCATGGTCGAGGACGAGTTCCTCGCCACGGCCCAGCTGTTCACCGCCCACCTCCACGCCGCCGAGTACCAGCGGCTGAAGGCGGCCGCCCGATCGCGCAACGCGGATGCCGCCGGCGCCGGCGCCGGCGTCGAGATCGCCCGGCCCGTCGTCGGCGCCGCCACGGACCGCACGAGGCGGAGGGAGGAGCGGAAGGCCCTGCTGGCGAGCCAGAGGCGGGCGCTCAGGCAGGCGCGCGCCGCCGAGAGCGACGACGACCAGGAGGAGGGACGCAGCAGCTCGCTGCACGGGCTGATGGAGAGCCCGCGGAAGCAGGCCGTGCGCCTGGACAGCCTGACGGCGGGCACCGCCAGCACGACGCGCGCCGCGGCCGGCTTCCAGAGACGGCAGCGGCAGGGGACGACGGGCTCACAGCCGGGCTCCTCTCAGTTGCCCAGTCGAGGAGGGCGTCGGAGAGGCGTAGCTGACGGGGATGGGGACGAGGACGAGGACGAGGACGAGGACGAGAGACATCTGAGGAAGAAGGTGAAGAGCAACGACGAGGCGATGATCTCCGGTGCTGCTCGGGGCGATCGATCCGCGTCGCGGCAGCCTCGGGCCATGCCACCGCCGCCCAAGCATCGACCGCGAGCCGAGGCAGAGCGCTCCTCTACTACCGACTCGGCGCCTAAGCCCACCGCGCTCAGCACCCGGCAGAGGCGCGAGGCTGTCAACGAGGCGGCGAAAGCGACGAGGAGGAGGCGGAGTCCTCCGGAAGCGGCTGGAGAGAGCGACTCGTCGGACGCAGCAGGTGCCGGGTTAGATTTCATGAGCCGGTTGAAGAAACAGCAGGCGGAACGCCGACGCGGCCGCGAGCAGCGGAGGCAGGCCGAAACCAGGGAGCAAACGGCCGCGTCCTCTAGAGATATTATTCCCAACTTCCTTTGACGGGAATCTACCCGGCTCCAGTATGATTCCATGAGTTATTGGACAGGAAGCTCTGAAGAGACCTCGTGTCAAGTCCTGGCACCCTCACACGGGGGCAAAGTGGCTGCGGCTGATACAAGTCACCGAGCAGGTCACTTTGGATCGTTGTTAACTTGCCCGGTCATTTGGTCGCCTGCTGTGAATTAGGAGGCGAAAGTCGATATCAAAGTTTACCGCCTCATTACCATTAACGTCAAGTTGTTATTTCTCGCACCTATCTCATGCGAGCGGAACGTCAAGAACTGGAAAGGTGCCGTGCTGCATTACGGAGAACATCGTTCCATTGGAGGCCGTCAGAGCCTCGTCCACATCCTAGATCAGCCAGAACTAGGAAATTGCCTTCGTGGAAAGGCATTCTTGTCACTTCGACTGCAACTCCTCACTCACTGCCAAGTACTGTTGGGAACTCGCGGGTCTCTCCCTCAAAGTCAAAACAGATGACGGCTAGCTCTTCTTGTCTCATTGGGTCGGACTGGAAAGGGTGGAGGAGAGTGACTCGGTATGCAGACTTGGGAGCGTCAAAGGTGAAGATCGACTAGGGTAACGACAGATTCAATTAGAGACTTGAAAATCCCGGGGAAATCCTGGAAATGAAAATGATCTGGAACAGAGCGGGTATCTAGGTAGCGGTGGACTGATTATGTATCAGTACACAGCTGGTATATAATACAGAAGCCAACATTGTACAGCTTATGCCTCTATTGGCTAAGCCTTTGGGCGGTCTTCCTCGAAACGTTGGGAGCGGATTTTGAGTCAATGGCTTGACTCTAGGGTCTCCGTGGGTGGTAAACGAACACTTCGATCCGCAATCGTCGTCGGCGGCTTCAGAAGAGCTGGCTGAACACCCTCATGGCCTTGGCGTCTGCGGGCGCCTGGTCGGTTCCCCTCGTGCTGACAGAAGACTGCTTAAACCTCCGCGTGCCCTTCGGATCGTCTGTTTCAGCATCAACAGCAAGAGCAGCCTTGTCCGCGCTCTCTTGGTCGCGGTTCTTCTTCGCTGTGGCTTTTGACTGGATGCCGTCGAGCATCTTTGACTTCTCAATGTTGCGTACAAATTCCTTATTCTCCTTGGTAGACTTGCTGATCTCCGCTCTCATCCTGCTTGCTCTCTCGGCGGCCTCAGAGGCGATCTGCTCCGTGAGATTGTCTGCGATAGTGGTCAGCATAGTTGTTACAATGGCTTCCAGAGCACCAAGCACATGACAAGGGCATCGAAAAGGCGCAAGTGGTGGCATACTCCATTTGAATCCTTTCAGATAGACCACGCTGGAAAGATCAACAGTGTCAGCTTTGCTGCATGGATAGGCTGGCTGGAACAGCGAGGGATTCAGCCGTCATACCTCCAGATATCATCCCGATAGTAGCTGCCCTTCTTGCCGCCGATGGTCTGGCCGTTTAAGAGATCGACAGCTTCTTTCGCTTTTGCTTTGTTGACAAACTCGATCCATCCTTCGACAAAGTTCTTCTTCCGGTTCCCGCCTTGCTTGACGCGCCGGGAATGAACCTGGGGGTCTTCGGGGGCGAGATACAGCCGATTGCACTTGCCGAAGCGCTCGAAATATTTCCGCAGCGTGCCAGGTTTCATGAACGGTGGTATA